GTGGGAGACGAAGGCAGATTTAAACGGGTGCCTTAACCTGTATAAAAGTGAGATGTGGTGGCTCAGTGGCTAAGACGCTGAGCTTGTCGATCGAAAGGTCGGCAGTTCAGTGGTTCGAATCTCTAGTGCCACGTAACGGGGTGAGCTCCCGTGACTTGTCCCAGCTTCTGCCAACCTAGCAGTTCGAAAGCACGTAAAAAAATGCAAGTAGAAAAATAGGGACCACCTTTGGTGGGAAGGGAACAGCGTTCCGTGCGCCTTTGGCGTTGAGTCATGGCGGCCACATGACCACGGAGACGTCTTCGGACAGCGCTGGCTCTTCGGCTTTGAAACGGAGATGAGCACCGCCCCCTAGAGTCGGGAACGACTAGCACAGATGCGCGAGGGGAAACTTTACCTTTACCTAACCTGTATAAAAGCTTTTTAAACAAGTCGCTTTCTTGTTGAAGTAGAAGAATTATTTTTTCCCCCCCTTCGTACCAAAATTGGGTTATCTAACCCGAACAGCTGCAGGTTTCTTAATTATGCACCGCTATTGTCACCAGCATGATTACGCAAATTGCTTGGCGTGGGAAGTGTTTAAAAAAAAATCTTTTTTTAGAGGATGTTAATTGGATCACGAACAAGAGGTGGGATGTTTCTCTCTTTCTCTCTCTCTCTCTCTTTCTGCTTGGTTTTTTAAAACGTATTTCTCCTTTTGCAGAGAGTCTGGCTGAGTCTACCTGAGATACAGAGACGGAAAGGGAAAAATAGAATAGAATAACAGAAAGGGAAGGGACCTTGGAGGTCTTCTAGTCCAACCCCCTGCTTAGGCAGCAAACCCTACACCACTCCAGGCAAATGTTTATCCAACATCTTCTTAAAAATTTCCAGTGTTCAGTAAAAATGCTTCTGTTGAACTGCTAAGGACTTGTTCAGTCCTTGACTACAGGTATGTTCTGTCCCCGTCCCCCCACACACACAAACAGCCAGCCGGGGGTTAAAGAAGTACTCGGCACACACAAGGTTCGTTATCAGGAACTTGGCAGCAATACGATAACCGTCTGCCAAGTGCTTTACTACAAGAAGAGGGAGTGTTCCTCCACCAGATAACACCAACGAATACACACAGTTTTCAAAACAGTCCAGCTCAAACATGAAACCTTCAGCAGATCAGGCGTTGTACAAAGTGACTAGCCAGAAGTTAGCTTTGTCCGTCACAGAGTCTAAATGGCCACCACACTCTCTTATATAGCCTGTGGGGTGTGGTCCAGTGACTCAGCTTAATCCCTGGCACACCTCCTCATCTGCTGCAAACGTTTATCTCGCCTTCGTTGGCGTGGATCCAGGAACGACTTATCCCCCTCATCGCTGTCATCGGAGACACCTGGCTCCTGGTCAATCTCCTCTCCCTCGGCAGACACCTGAGGCATTGCCAGAGAGGAGGGGCCTGGAGAGGGAGGCCTGGCCGGCTCCTCTCCTTCATGTTCGGAGCCTTCTTCCTCCAATAAGATGGGCTCGGGGATCGGAGCCACAACACGCTACTGGTTCTCCAAACTGCTCAAAATTTCCGCTACCACTTCTCCAGAACCTGTCAGAACCTGCTGGATTTCACCCCTGGTTCAAACCACTTCCTAGGACAGTAATGGCGAACCATTTCGGCACCGAGTGCCCAAACCAGAATGTGCACTGCACGTGTTCCTGCAGCCCCGGAAACTCGAAGAACAGCTGGGCAGTGCGCATGTGCCAGCTGGTCTTCGCATGTGGTGGAGCCATGGATACCCAAAGACCAGGTGACCATGTGCAAGCTGGTCTTCGGATTTCCAGGGCTCCGACTGGCACGTGCGAAGATCAGCTGGCCGGCGCGCTGGAAACCAAAAGATCAGCTGGCTGGCGTGCCAGAAACCAAAAGATCAGCTGGCTGGCATGCCGGAAACCAAAAGATCAGCTGGCTGGCGTGCCGGAAACCAAAAGATCAGCTGGCTGGCGCGCCGGAAACCAAAAGATCAGCTGGCTGGCGCGCTGGAAACCAAAAGATCAGCTGGCTGGCGCGCTGGAAACCAAAAGATCAGCTGGCTGGCGCGCTGGAAACCAAAAGATCAGCTGGCTGGGCGCTGGAAACCAAAGATCAGCTGGCTGGGCGCTGGAAACCAAAAGATCAGCTGGCTGGCGCGCTGGAAACCAAAAGATCAGCTGGCCGGCGCGCTGGAAACCAAAAGATCAGCTGGCCGGCGCGCTGGAAACCAAAAGATCAGCTGGTGGCAGCGTACCCGCCCACAGAGAGAGCTCTGCATGCCACCTCTGACACATGTGCCACGGTCCTAGGATGTTTGCCACACAAATAGTGAGGAATTGTCATTTGCTCTTTTATAATGAGAAGGATCTATTCAGTAACCAGTTTAACTTGCGCTGCTATATAATTTAAACAAGTTTAATTTGCATTTAGCTGGGTTTGGCTGATCTTGGAAAGGTATGCAAGGCTTGTGCCTCCAGTTGATTTCACAAACAGAAAACTATTCCCCCCCCCCGAAATTAAGCCATTACAGATTACCTAAGAGTTTTTTTTTTCTCCTGTGCAAATATTGCAGAATTAGCTGACTGAGCACTGTACTCAAGCATCATATTCACAGACTAATATTTAATTAGAATAGAATAGAACTGGAAGGGACTTTGGAGGTCTTTTAGTCCAGTCCCTTGCTCAAGCAGGAGAACCTATACAACCTATACAATCTATCTCAGACAAGTGACTTCCAATCTCTTCTTAAAATCCTCCAGTGATGGAGCGCCCATCCATCTGGTGGCAAGCTGTTCCACTGGTTAATTGTCCTCACTGTTAGGAAGTTTCTCCTTAATTCCAGGTTGCTTCTCTCTTTGATCAGTTTCCAACCATTGTTTCTTGTCCTGCCCTTTGGCACTTTGGAGAATAATTTGATCCCCTCTTCTTTGCCCCTCAAAATACTGGAGTACTGCTATCATGCCACCCCTAATTCTTCTTTTCTTTAGATTAGCCCAGTGGTCAGCAACCTGCGGCTCTGGAGCTGCATGTGGCTCTTTTATCCTTCTGCTGCGGCTCCCTGTTGCTGGTCGGCTTCTCAATTGATAGGGCTTTCGGTTAGGACAGGTAGAGGAAAAAGGACTCCGTGCTAAGAGCAGACTCTATGGTGGGGAAACTGGACTTCCGGTCAGCGGAGGAAAAAGGATGCCGCACCAGGAGGAGACTCTAGCTTTGCATCATCTTAGTTGCTAATTATATTATATTATATTATATTATATTATATTATATTATATTATATTATATTATATTATATTATATTATATTATATTATATTATATTATATTATATTATATTATATTATATTATATTATATTATTTATTATATTATATTATATTATATTATATTATATTATATTATTATATATTATAATATTATATTATATTGCATTGCATTGCATTGCATTGCATTGCATTGTATGTATTATATATATATATTATTATATATTATTTGTCAGGTTGCCCTGAGATAGAAATTTGGGCAGCGGCTGCAACTCAAGGAACACCAGTCATTCACCCTACCCTTAACTCCAAGCTCCTGCAGGTACCAGTTATGATAAGGAAAAAGAGTTTAATGATAAGCATGGATGTTTGCATTTTTCCTTTCTCCTTCCCACGCCCTTTCCTTCTGTGTTATGTCTCCCAGTCTGCAAATCTCCCTTGACTTATCTATCTATCTATCTATCTATCTATCTATCTATCTATCTATCTATCTATCTATCTATCTATCGTTAAAATGAGGGTGTGGCTAACTGATGAAGCCAAATAAGGCAGAAATAGATCTGTTTTAGTCTCCCTTACGTCTTGCAGCAGACAGCATAATGTGCTTATATGTCTGATAAAGCCTAGAAAATAGTGATTTGGGATGTCACTTAACTATGGCTATAGAAACATCTTGATTTACGTAGGAAAAACCCTGGCTAGAACAGTAATGCATTTAGGGTAAGGCTGGCTGATGAGAGTTAAGAAGCTTGAAATAGATCTATACCAGTCTCCCTTTATTTCTTTATCAGCAAAATATATTTGGTATAAAAATGGTTTGTTATGGATGCAACTGCAACATGTTGGAGTAGACCAGGTGTCTCGGTAAAACATATATATAATATATATATATATATATATATATATATTATTTATTATTTAATTATATATATATAATTAAAAGAAAATATATAATATATATATATATATATATATATATATATATATATATATATATAATATATATATATATATATATATATATATATATATATATATATATATATATATATATATTGTTCTTTTAATTCATAGGTAAATATGTATAATACTTTTCTAATCAGGGTTTTTTCCTACGTAGCTCAAGATGTTTGTATAGCCATAGTTGGGTGATTTGAGATATCAAGCCATAGCCGCAGAATAAAGTGCAGAAATAAAACATCACAAACACACACACACACACCCTTGAGCATGCACAGAGTGCATTCGGAAGGTTTGAATTGGGAACAGAGTCCCCCAAAGCCTTCTTTCTTTCCAGGCCCGCCCTCGCTCTCATCCGATTGGTGGCGCCTCCTGCCAATTATAAATCTCAGCCGCGAACTCAGTCCTCCTCTCCCTCACTTGGAGGTGGTGGGGGAATAATAAAAAAAAAAAAAAGGCAAAATTTAATTGCTCGCTTCTCCTGCCAATCTGAGGAACCAAAGCCCGCCTCTTGCAGCTTCACCTTCTTTTCCCCCCCTCCCTCCGCCCACCACCACGCGCTGCTGTCTTAACGCGGAGGAGGCGGGGCAACGCCTCCGGTTGGCTGCGACGCGACTGTCACTCCACGGCGGACTCCCTCCCTCCCTCCCTCCCCCCCCCACCGGGCCGCCTCCTCGGGGAGCGGATCCCACGCCGATTGGCGCGCTGGCCAGCCAATCCGTCTCCGGCGGCCAATCCCGGCGTCGCCTTCTCTCAGGTAACCCGGAAGATGGCGGCAGCAGCGGCGGCGGTGGCGGGGATGAGGCGAGGCGCCGTTGCCGGCCGTGCCGCGTGAGGGAAACGGCGGGCCTCCCTCCTCGGCCTTTTACTGCTGCTGCTGCTGCTCGGCGCCGTCCTTCTCCGGCGGGAGAACCCAATGCCGACCCTCCCGAGCCCCGCGGGCTGAGGGCGAGACAGGCCCGGCCGCGCTGAGGAGTCCCGTGAGGCGGCGGAGGGATGCCGGGCCGGCTGCTGCTCCCCGGGCTCGGCTGGGGCGGCCTCGGACTCCTCTGCTGGTGGCTGGGCGGCGGGCAGGCGGCTCCGTTGCCCCAGGCGGGGCCAGGTGAGAAGCCGAGGGGCGGAAAGATACCCCCCCCAAGGGAAAAAAACAGGGCGGGGGAGGGGGCGTTTGAGGAGAGATTGCCCCCCCGCCGCGCCGCCATGACCCCCCCCCCTTCCTTCCTTCCCCCCCCGCGTTCGCATCGAATGGTTCAGCCAGGCCTACCTGGCAGGGTTGTTGTGAAGCCCCAAAGGCCAGAATGGGGGGGGGGAGAAGTGTGTGTGGGGGGGGGGGCGTCTGAAGCCCCTGCAGGGAAAGCGGATGGGGGGGGTTCAGTCGAGGTGATGGGTGGGGTTCCTCCCCCTCCCAGCTATCTATGTGATTCGTGGATTCATCCATTCTGGATGTGGGGGGGGGCAGACGGAGGGACCCCAGAGGGGGGAGTGGAGACCCTCAAGGGGTTCGTTTGACTGCAGGTTGTCGCGGGGTTGTGATTTATTTTTATTCTATTTTATTCTATTTTATTCTATTTTATTCTATTCTATTCTATTCTATTCTATTCTATTCTATTCTATTCATTATATATTATATTATATTATATTATATTATATTATATTATATTATATTATATTATATTATATTATATTATATATACTATACTATACTATACTATACTATACTATACTATACTATACTATATTTATAGTCTTTTATATAGATTATATTGGGATGATTATCTATAGGGTATGGTTTTATGGTTTGTAAGCTGCCCAGAGTCTCTGAAGGTGGGTCAAGGGCCAGAGAAATCCAGTCAGTTAAGCCAACCGATCAGTAAATCCGATCAATAAATATAGCCCTATGAATCCAATCAATCAATCAAATAGTATTGCCATATTAAGTCCAATAAGTAAATAAATAAATATAGCCCTGTAAATCCAATCAGTCAGTCAATAAATATTATTGCCGTATAAGTCCACTAAGTAAGTAAATAAATAAATATAGCTCTATAAATCCAATCAATCAATATTATTGCCATATAAGTCCACTAAGTAAATAAATAAATATAGCCATATACATCCAATAGATAAATATTATCACCATATAAATCCAATAAGTAAATAAATAAATATAGCCATATAAATCAAAGAAAGAAAAAAAGAAAGGGGAAGGAAGGAAGGAAGGAAGAGAGAGAGAGAGAGAAAGAAAAGAAAAAGAAAGAAAGAAAGAAAGAAAGAAAGAAAGAAAGAAAGAAAGAAAGAAAGATTATATATCTGCCCATCTCCCTCACCCCCTTGTGACTCTGGGCAACACTTTTCCTCATTTTGGGGGGGGGGCAGGGGTGTCTTGTCTTTCTCTGATTGCCATTCCCATTATGGACCTCCTCCTTCTCCACCAGTTTAGAACCTTGCATGGATCCCTCTTCCCCCCAAGACTCCAGCATCCATCCTCCCGCCTGTAAGTGTTGCCCTGGTAGGCCAGTATATCTGGAGAAAGCTAGAATGCAATAATAACTATAATTAATGATAAATAATCTGGTTTGGTTTGATTAGTTTCATTTCAAGATCCATTGCTGCTTGTCCTGCCTTCAGGGGCTTTGGAAAATAGGTTGACCGCCTCTTCCTTGCGGCAGCCCCTCAAATATTGGAACGCTGCCATCATGTTGAAACGTTTCTGTTTAAACATCTGGAGTGAAGGAGACTCCACAGTCTCCTGAGGCAGCCTAGTTCGTGGCTGATCATCTCACAGGGTTAGGAAATTCTTCCGATATAAAATCATAGAATGTTAGGGAAGGGTCTTTGGTGATCATCAAGTCCCAGCCCCTGCCCTTTGCAGGAATTCTCATTCCTTAACAAGTGTCTGGCCAGTTTCTGGTTTAAACATCTGCATTTCCCAAAGTAGTCTTTTCCATTACCGAATAGCTGACTGATGACATTCTTCCAGATGTTCACCATCTTTCTGTTTTAAGTCCTTGGCCTCTTGGCCTGCTTTCATGTCTTCTCTAATCCATTCTTCTGATCCTTTTCTTATGGCACTACTTCATCGTTAATATCCATTTTCTGACCACAATCAGTTATTACTGTTCATTATTTGTATCTTCCATTGGGGTACATCCTAGAAATTGCAAGGGGCTTAGGTAGAAAATATGGAAAGAGCAAAGAATGTAGGTGTAATCTCTCTCTTACTCTCTCCCTCCGTCTCTCTCTCTCTCTCTCTCCCTCCCTCCCTCCCTCCCTCCCTCCCTCCCCTCCCCCCTTCTATATTTGCAGGTGTGTGTGTTGATGTGAGAAAGGAAGAATCTCACCTTACACGGAGGGAAAGGGTGGGGGGAGTGAGGATAAAAGAAAGATTGTTCAGTTCTGCTGTTATAAATCACACTTCGCATATTTTCTAAGCAAACCTGAGTTTTGGGTAGAAACATCACAACCTTAAGATTCTTTTTGCATTTTGGCCTGCTTTTATGTGCTTGTGTGTTGATGTCTAAAACTTACCCAGTTAACAAAATGCCTCCTGCCAATAGTGATGGTATGCTTTAGTTTCTGAAAAGAGCTATGTTAAGCAGGTTAATTTTTAAAATTCCGTGAAACTCTTGACCTCTGCGAATACAAGAGAGACAAAAATAAGTGCTTATAAGCTATCATCATCAAATCTTCCTTTACACATGCGTAAAGATTTTCCTCCACTGGAGCAAGCCTATTGTGTAGGCAAAGAACACAAACATTTAGTAACACAACATAAAAAAAGGAACTAAAATGGATAAGAATCACTATCTTATCACTATCCGAACCACTGTCCTGTTTTGGTTCCATTTGTTCCCAGGTATTTAAGAACCCCACAAATCGTTCAACGTCATTCTGTGTCTAAACCTAGAAATTCAGTTTGTGACCAGTGGTGACTAATAACTGTGGGCATAACCTTTCTGAATGTGTTCATTCTTTTTAGAAACAACTTATTGGTTATTAAGATGCCTTTTGGACTTCAAACATTTTATGAAACGGTTCCTCATAGTGATTCAGATGCTAACTAGTCTTAAGGGAAGTAATACAATTGAATCTCTTAGCTTGATTAATTGAGTCATCTTTGTTCTATTCATCTCTAATCTCTATTCATCTCAGGTCTTGAAATAAATTATAATTGCCCTGAGAAGATTATTGTCATTGTCTGAAGTTTAGTAGAAATCAAAAGTAGCTTATCCTAATGTTTTCACATCTATCTTTTGCCGCAACTGATGGAACCTTTCTTCTTCCGTATTTTTTCCCTCGAATTGAATGTGGTTCATGAAGTATAAATTCAGCAGGGACAAAAATGGATTTTAAAACAACCAAATGTCAACATTTGAAAGCGTTCTTGGTATTGTTGTGAGGAGCTTTCAAAGTGTAAATATATTGTATTTTGGTTTGGCATAGGAACCATGATGTGCAATACCTTCCGTTCTCGCACTGTCACAGTTTCTATGTTGAAACAGGAAGTGTGGCTACCTTAAAACTGACTGGTGTACCTATCCCTTGACAAATTTCCTTCTGCTTTTAAAGTAGAACGTCGTCTTATTTGTAACAAAATTGCCACAAACTGTACTAAGACTTTGGTTCTGTGCACCCTTGCTAGATGCCAGCTCCGTTGTTGAACATAACAGCTTTCAAATTAAATGTATAGTGTTGAATAACAGAACAGAATAACAGAATTGGTAGGGATCTTGGAGGTTTTCTAGTCCAACCTTCTGCTCAGGTAGGAAACCCTATACCATTTCAGACAAATGGTTGTCCAATCTCTTCTTAAAAACTTCCAGTGTTAGAACAGATGGGTTTCAAGAGGAATCGTCATGAATATATAAAGATTTACTGCCTTACATTTCCATTACTCAAACTGGGGCAAGTACTGTAGTCCTGTTCAGAACTGGGTGATGAAATGCATAAACCAGCAGAACACTGGAGGAAGAATCTAAGCAGTGCTTTTGTCAGTTTTGGTGCCATGTTCCTTGGCTATGCTATTAATAAAAGCGAAGGAAATTTGTTCTTCTTAGTAACTGATTTATCAGAGTCCGTCCTTGCAATCCCAGAATTGAATGAAGATATCTGCTTTTTTTTTTTTAGAAAGTCAGTGAATGTGTGGTCAAAGTGTACATTCAGGTGTGAAAGCAAAGCACCTTTGATCTCATGTCATGAGACGCAAGTTTTACATTTGGCAAGGAATGAAATACTGCTTTAAAATGTAACGATAGATTTTTGCTTTGCTTTCCAAGTATGCCTGCTTGATGATCTCAAACTTGGCAACTTTAAGATCTGCGGAATTCAACTCCTGGCTGGCTGGGGAATTAGAATAGAATAGAATAACCGAGTTGGAAGGGACCTTGGAGGTCTTCTAGTCCAACCCCCTGCTTAGGCAGGAAACACTACACCACTTCAGACAAATGGTTATCCAACCTCTTCTTAAAAACTTCCAGTGTTGGAGCATTCACAACTTCTGGAGGCAAGTTGTTCCACTGATGAATTGTTCTAACTGTCAGGAAATTTCTCCTAAATTGCTTCTCTCCTTGATGAGTTTCCACCCATTGCTTCTTGTCCTGCCCTCAGGTGCTTTGGAGAACAGCTTGACTCCCTCTTCTTTGGGGCAACCCCTGAGATATTGGAAGACTGCTATCATGTCTCCCCTAGTCCTTCTCTTCATTAAATTAGACATACCCTGTTCCTGCAACCGTTCTTCATATGTTCTTCAACTTTAATTCTGGGAGTTGAAGTTCACACATGCCAACTTTGAGAGACATAGATATAAGAGGATGCTACTGCAATTGTGTTGCTCTTCTTAAGCCTTCTCAAAGTGGTGGGATCCAGATGTTTTGGCCAACTTCACCGAGTGACCATTAAAGCACCCCGATCTGCCAAACATAAGATTAGCAAGCTTGCCTGACTCTGTGTGGGTCCTGTGTGTAGATTGAACATTGTGAGCACAAAAATACACGTACTGTGGTAGAGGTAACTTTGCCCCTTCAGTTGAACATCCTAAAATTTGGGGTACTTTCTGTTCAATTCCAGGTCTGTACGGAATTACAGTGATCCACCTTTTCTTTC